GGGGCTTGGCAGCAGCAGGACAGGCTCTGGGTGCTCCCCTCACTCACCTGGTGGAACTGCACGAGGATTTTGGAGAGCTGTATTCTGTCCGGCAGCGGCAGAGGGAAACCCTGATCTAACCTGGCTGGAAGACACAACACACGTGGCTGTGTTGGGGTGGGAAATGGGAGCAAGAGGGAGCACGGGCCCTGCAGAGCAGGCAGCCACCTCCTCCCCCAGCCCTTTCTTGGCCCGCGCTGATCCCGGGGTCGGCAGACGCCAGCCCTGCTCTGGCCCCCTTTGCTGGGAAGTCGTGAGAAGCAGCAAGCGGGAGAGAGGGTCTGGAAAGCATTAGGATGTGCGTCCTGCTCCCCATTGTGCTCGCGGCCGGATGCAAGTCGCAGCGCCGAGAGGCTCCCGCACGCTGCTCCCCCAGCCTGCCTCCCCCGGGCCCTTTTTCTGCCATCTCCTGCGCTCGCTGCGGGCTTTACCCACGGATCAGGCTTGGCAACGGGGATTTAATTAACGAGCTGGGCCTGCTCGGATGGAGGGACCTGGCCAGCGATTACTCCAGCAGCCCCATTCCCCCCATCAGGTTCTCACCATTAAGACGCGGGAGCAGGATACTGGAAGCAAAGATGTTCATTATGGACTGCAGCGTTCGCACCTGGGAAGCAGAGACAGGGAAGGAAAAGAGCTTTAGCCTGGGGGAGAGCGGGTGACCAGGCACTGCAGGATAATTAGGAGAAGAAAAAGAGACAAGGAGTGGGATGGGCACACACTCCACCGGAGAACAGCAGCTTTGTCTGGCCACACTGGTGTGGCAGGAGGGGCAGGGGAGAGAGAGGCTCTGCATCCTCCCCCAGTCTCCCAGGCTGAGGCAGGAGGCACCTATGGGGTCAGCATGGGGTCCTGGGTGCACCTCCTGGTCCCGTGTTGGGGGGCGGGGGGCAACGCTGGGGGCTCTGGTCATGGCCAAGGATAGCTTACCTGGAAAGTGCCGACATCCGATTGCTTCAGAGAGAGCTTCATCCTGCGCAGACAGAAGCGGTGCTGCGAAGGCTGTCCCAATGGAGGGAGCGGTTCCCACCCCGGTGCCACGCGTCAATGGCCGTGCAGATCCTGCTCTCTCCAGCCCCAGCACATCCCCTCCGCACCGGGTCCCTGTCCCCAGCACCTCCCCACCTCACCTCTGTCCCCAGCCACCCCCCTGTGCTGCTCCCCTCCGTACCTGCCCACCTTCAGGCTCCCAACTACGTGGCCGGATTTCACGTCGATGACAGCGGACACGTTGCCCGTCTGGGGAGAGAGTGCAGAGCTCTGGCAGTGCCCACCCCAGACCAGACACCCGGGGGAAGGGCTCAGGCCAGCTGAAACGCAGCGGGACCGCTGCCTGTCCAGGGGCTTGTCTGCACGCAGCATTAAACCTGGCATTTGTCAGCTCGGGTGTTTTTCTGCTGGGGACACCCCGGCTGCACCGGCTCAGCACCCGGCACCTCTCCTGGCAGGGAGCCGGGTTTTTTTTCCCCCGACTGCCCCACGCTGGTTAGAGCTGCGGCTGCCCCCCGAGCTGCCCTGCCAGGACCGCAGTCACCGCAGCAGGCTGTGCCCGAACTCACCAGGCCGAGGAGGAAGAGAGGAGCCAGGCTGGAGTTGGGAAAGCCGGGCCATCCACGACGGGCCGGAGTAAGAGCCCCCCTGGTCCGATGTTCAGGAACGGGGCGGAGGGGGCAGACAGCCTGAGCTTCATCAGCATGTCCGGGTACATCTTCTCGAGCTGCAGAGGAGCGGGGAGAGGGTAGGGACAGCAGCACAAACCCCTGCTCCCGGGGGGAAAAAGCCTTGCCCAGAGTAAACCCCGGGCTGTGCACAGCAGGAGCTGGACCCCTCACCTGGGGAACGAAGGCTGAGAAGGTGGAGGTGTTCAAGTGGAAGTCAACGCCCTTCGGGATCTGCACGGGGAGGGCAGT